AGATACAAACTTTTTTCCTTGCTACTCCCTAAACACTAGTCTAACAGCCACTTAGGTGTCATTTATATCATCCTAGATATTGTAAGTTGCTGATTTGTTATCAGTCACCTAAGGATGAGGTAAAGTTTATGAGAAGCCAGCCGCAGCTAGGTCACATGAAAATCTTGAACCAGTTAATGGAAGCAACTTGAGCAGCCATAGTTTTGTTGTTGTTGTTGTTGTTGTTGTTTTTTGTTGTTTTTTTACTTACAGGAGCTGGAACCTGCCTCCTGCTGATACAGAGGAACAGATGCGTTTCAAAGGCCCATCATTTGTTATTAGCTCCAAAGTGCCAGATCATATTTTACACGGATATTTTCTTTTCTTCTGTTTTCTCCTTTCTTTCTTTCCTTTCCTTTCCTTTCTTTTCTTTTCTCTTTCTCTTTTTTCTGTTTTGATTTTGTCTTTTGAGAAAGGGCTTCCTGTGGCCCAGGCTGACCTTGAAACTGAATATGTAGCTGACAATGACCTTGAGTTCTTAATCAATCCTCTTACTCCCAAGTGCTGAAATTTTAAATGTGCACCACCACACCCCATGTAGAGAGTTTCTTCACCTACTCAAAAAACAAAAAAACAAACAAAAAAACTATGAAATACTTACTGTCCCAGTTTTATAGATGAGAAACTGAGAGGATTGATTAACACTTCTAAAGCCCAACAGCCAGTTCCTAACACCAGGCCTGGTCATTTAAATCCGGCATTGCAGTCATCTCTCAGCCTGCCCACACTGTCTTGAGAGAAAAGAACACCTTCTACTCACAGAAATGAACAGCATAAGGCTACAGGTTAGAATGAGGAAAACCGTCCTCAGGCCTCTGCCTAGCCTTTGCAAGGCCACGGCCATAGGAGGACGTTTCATAAGAAAGTTCTAGCACAGGGCCTTGGCCACACCACACAGAGCGCAGGTGATGGCTTTGAGGAACACTAGCCATTAGCATCTCTGTATTTTGTGTAGTCCTTCAGAAGAACAATCCATTTGTTGTGCAAGTCACTGCCATCTTCCACAAGGCTTAACACCAGGCAAGGTTCCATGTTTGTCCTCAGCAGATGGGCTGTGGATCCTTCCCACCTTTGGTCACATCGTGTCTGTAGCTGCCACACTGGTCTCCGTATGTCCCCATGCAAAGGAAGGTACCCTGCCTTGTCTTTCTATTCACTAGCATGTACCTCCCGCGGTCACGCATAGGCTTCCAAGATCCATCACTCTCGTTCCTTTGCCTACTTTGTCAAGACCTGTTTTCCAGACCCCTCAGACTTGGCCATGGAAAGAAGCCCATAGCCTAAGACATGAAGCTCATCCCCATCGCAGGACACTGCGTGTTCACTCGCTGTGAGCTGCATTTCAGGAGGGGCCTTGTGTACAGTGTTCTTAATCCGAAGCGGTACCTTTAGGTTAAGTGACGGGACACAAACCGTTTGATGTAATATTTGTCAGAATTAAAACGTGAAGCAGCGCTTTATCTGAGTTAGCACCACCAATGTATTGGGTAGCCCACTTCCATGTTTCCTCGTGTTTAAAGAAGAGGTAGAAACTCCTGCCCGGCTTAGCCCTGCTCCCGGAGCCCAGCCAACCCCACAACAGCTGCCACCACCACTGGTTTGCTAAACTGAGAAGAACTGGAACTCCCCCAGACAATAGGGTGAACCTCAAATGATGAAGAAGGTGAAGTGCCCCCCGAAAGGAATGCAAGTACAGCCCAAGATCAAGGATGAGAATTTGTTTTGATGTATTTTATTTACTTGTCGGTTTGGGTGGTGGCGCACGGCGCGTGAAGGGGAAGCCAGAACGTTGGTTCTTTCCGTCCTCCACGGGAACCCTGAAGAAGAAACTCAGGTCGTCAGACCCGGCGGCAACAGCCTTACCCACTGAACCGTCTCACCAGCCCAAGGACAGGGATTCTAGAAGCACGCACACCACTTAGATACACTCTTTCCATTCCACAAGTTAGATTCAAAGCAGGTCAGGCTCACAGTGTGGCAGGGCACATAAGGTAGACACGAAAGTCCCTATGCCCCAGGCTGGATGGCCAGGTTAGCCACCCCGTGAGAGTACAAAAGGTTCTGCAAACCATAGTGCTGTTGTTTTAAGTGTGTAAGGAAATAAATGCGCTCGAAAATCTCGAAAATGAACGGCTGAGAAGATTGTAAGTTTGAATCCGGCCGGACTGCCTACCAAGATCCTGTCTCAAAAATAATTTTTGTTTAAATGTGATTTTTCTGCATTATAAGGTTTTGCTTGTTTTTGACGTTCATATCGTTTATTTGCTTTTTTTATTATATATTTTTCGTTTTTCTAAAAAGAGTATGGATGATAGCATTTTTATTCAAAACTGTTCTGTATTCAGATAGAATTTAGTTTCAGTGCCTGCTATGTTACAGACAATCTGTGTGACCAGTGGCAAACCACTCACCCGTTTCAGGTCTCAATTGTCTCATATTTAAATTAAAAATTGTTTTTAATTTGATACCGTCATAAAGTGATTTAGGGTCTCAAACTCAGAGGGTAAGTTAATCATGTTTGCGGATCATAGCATCCCATCGGCATCAGTCTGTGCCAAGCTCTCTCCTATTTTATTGATTTATTTCCTTTTATTCCAATTTTCCATTCCATGTCCATCTGCCTCCATCCCTAGGCAAACAGCAAGTGTTTCATGTGGTTTTGTGATGTGTCTTTTAATTTGAAAAATGTTTCTGCAAAACACATATGGTTGTTTGGCTAATTGCATAAATGAATTCATTCATAAATCTCACTCTGCTTTACGCTTTTTCCCATGAAGAATGGTGCATTTAAACTCTTTCCATATTGCCATAAGGTATGTTATCTTGGGTCATAAGTGTTATTCATTATCCAGGTTTACATATGCCTCCCTTCTACCTCTCCTGGGTTTTCTCCTAGTCTCTGTCACCACAAACAACACTATTAAAAGCATCCTCCTGACGGTCCCACGTGAAATTCTTTGAGTGCTGTGGCCTGGAACAAAATGGGCCAGCTCAAATGTGTGCACAGTCAGCTGAACCACATAGTACCAGTATATTCTTCAAAATGTCTACACATCCTGTGCCTTTAACTGCCAAAGCCAAGGGCTCCTCATGTCCTCATAGCCTTACTTGGCAGCTTTCTAATGTTCATCTTAAAAGACATATTTTATCTCTTTATGGCTCACTTGGCTGGGGAGATGGGGGTCTTTTTTTATTTTTCTTTCTCTGTGTAGCCTTGGCTGTTCTGAACTCACTTTGTAGACCAGGCTGGCTTCCAACTCACAGAGATCTGCCTGCTTCTGCAACCCCAAGTGCTGGGATTACAGGCGTGTGCCATGTGCCATGTGCCCAGTTCTTTATAGCTTATTTTAATGTATTCAACTGCCTAATACTTTGAGCATCTTGTCTACATTCATGTCAATTGTCAATTTTCTTTACCTAATTTTTTTTTTCCATTGGAGTATACTGCTACTGGGAACTCAGTGTTCTTCTTGATTTCTTATTTTGTTTTGTTTTTAAGTTGGGGAGATATTCTGCCTCTTTGTCTGGTTAGTTTGTTGGCTGGGAAATTTTCCTTGTTGATTTGTTTTTGGTTTTGTTTGTTTGTTTTTAGATACAATCTCATATTGTACTGCAGACTAACCTGAGGCTGAAACCCAAGCTGGCCTAGAAATATGTATTCCAGGATGACCTCAAATTTCTAACAATGCTCCTGCCTCAGCCTCTTGAGTACTGGAATTATAGGCATGAGACACCATATAGATTTTTTTTAACAATTTTTTAATGTATTCGACTTGGTGTAATTGTGGAGATCAGAGGCCAAAGTGTAGGAATAGGTTGTCTCCGTTTACTATGTTGGTTACAAGACTCAACTCACATTGTTTGACTTAGTGGATTGAACCCAAGGCCTCACACACAAGGACTCTACCACTAAGATATATGCTCAGCTCTTTTTCTCACGTTAGAGGGTTTCTTATATTCTGAATACCCATTAGCTGTTTGAGAGAATACAGCTAACTCCTGCTATTCTTGCCTTGAAGGCTGTCCTTTTGAAGCATCAAGTCATTTTTCTTTACTCCAAGATTTTTTTTAAATTCTTTTGAGTTGCCTTCTTTTATTGTTAAAAGTCTATGCTATGCATTTCTGGTCTTTAGCATGGCTCCTATTTGCCATGGGAACAAATTGGTGCTTATTTTCCAGGCTTCTGTGAGGGATAAGATACTGCAGGTAAAGCACCTCACACAGGCAGCCTAGACCAACAGAGATGTGCCAGTGCAGGGGGTAAGATCCCCTGGGTAGACAGAGTAAGCGCTGACCTGTGAAACCTAAGAGCCAGGACTGTAGAAGCTGCTTACCTACATCAGGAGGGATTTCAAAGACAAGAAGGCAAGTTACTGAGTTAGAATTCATTCACTTTTTTTTTCTTTTCTTTATTTAGTTTTGGTTTGATTTGGGGTTTTTTTTGTTTTTGTTTTGTTTCGTTTTTGTTTTTGTTTTTTGTTTTTTTGTAAACCTGAAACTCACTATGGAGCCAGGCTGGCCTTGAACTCACAAAGATCTGAATACCTTCCAACTGCTGGGATTAAAAGTGGACATACCTGCCTCATCTTTTTTTTTTTTTTTTTTTTTTTAATGTGTGTATCAGTGTGAGTGCTAACTCGTATGTGTGTAGTGCTCCCAGGGGCCAGAAGATGCCATCACATCCGTGGGAGCCGGAATTGCAGGCAATTAGGAATTTCTCCATGGGAGGACGGAGATTCGAACTCTGGTCTTTGTAATAGGGCATCAAGGCCTCTTAACCAATGAGCATCAGTCCCAATAGTTCATTTCAAAATGGGAAAGGATAGCCTTCCGGGGTAGAAAATCGCCTGGGACTAGGCCTGAGGGTGGGAAAGCTCCCACGGAGCACCGCTGAGGAGTGCTTCTGAGCAGCGAGTGTACTGACCAACCGCTGTCTTGTCTTTCTGTCTGCGCCCCTGCAGGCTCCCTGTTCTCCACCCTCAAGCCTCCGGACGCCGTGTTCAAGGTGGTGTTCTGGCTGGGCTATTTCAACAGCTGCCTCAACCCCATCATCTACCCGTGCTCCAGCAAGGAGTTCAAGCGCGCCTTCATGCGCATCCTTGGGTGCCAGTGTCGCGGCGGACGCCGCCGCCGCCGCCGTCGCCGCCTGGGCGGCTGCGCTTACACCTACCGGCCGTGGACGCGTGGCGGCTCGCTGGAGAGGTCGCAGTCGCGGAAGGACTCTCTCGACGACAGCGGCAGCTGCATGAGCGGTAGCCAGCGGACCCTGCCCTCGGCGTCACCCAGCCCAGGCTACCTGGGTCGAGGAGCGCAGCCGCCGGTGGAGCTGTGCGCCTTCCCCGAGTGGAAACCCGGGGCGCTGCTCAGCCTGCCGGAGCCTGCCGGCCGCCGGGGCCGCCTTGACTCCGGGCCGCTCTTCACCTTCAAGCTCCTAGGCGAGCCGGAGAGCCCGGGCACCGACGGCGACGCCAGCAACGGGGGCTGCGACCCCACGAGCGACCTGGCCAACGGGCAGACGGGCTTCAAAAGCAACATGCCCCTGGCGCCCGGGCACTTTTAGGGTCCCTTTCCATCTCCCCCAACAAACACATACACACATCTGGGAGGGCGGAGGACACCATCGTGGGGAAAGGGAGGGCGCGTGGGGGGGGTGGGGGAGTGTCAGCCCTGGGTAGACACAGGGTCGCAGGGGGACAAGGGGGGAGGGGGGCGGGGAGAGGGGCAGCTGCTTTTCTGGCAGGGGCATGGGTGCCAGGTACAGCGGAGAGCTGGGCTGAGCATGCTGAGAGCCTGGAGGCCCCCACCCCCTAACGCCGGCCGGGACTTAAGTCTCTCTCTCTTCTCTCTATGTATATACATAAAATGAGTTCCTCTCTACGTATTTATCTGTGGGTACACGTGCGTGTGTCTGTTCGGTGTTCGTGTGGGCTGCATGAGTGTGTGTGTGAGGCCTGCCCGCTCCCGTGTGCTGGGGCAGAGCGCGTATGGCCCCTGGTGATGTCCAGGTTTGTTGTTTGTCTCTTGATTTTGTACCTCTCAAAGCCCCTCCTTGTTCTCTAGGCAACGCTGGCACTTTGATGGGGTCGGAAACCAAGTCAGATATTAAAGATCATTTCTCCTGTGTACGACTCTGAGTGGTTTGTGAAGAGTGACAAGGAGAGCCTAACATTTCCTCTTCCTTGGTCTGACCAAGTCCTAGGTCATTTCTTTGGGGACAGATATGGGGGGGGGGGTTAAACTATCATTATTATTGATGTGGTTAGTATCCTGTTTATTATTACAATAATATTTATTGTTTTATGTATTTGTAAGGCGTGAGCAGGTGCCATAGCAGATGTGAAAGCCAGAGGAGAATTTACAGGAGTCAATGCCACAGAAACTATAGATAAGACCATTCCAAAAGGTACACATACACACAAAAAGAAGAAGAGACAGTTTAGGATTCTTTATCAAGGAGCTCATGAATTAACCATGACATCCGAGGTGCACAGATGTCATAAGGTGAACCAAAATCATCTCAGCCAAGACCTCATTTTCACAGAAGGCTGACTGGGGTTAAGAATTTGTCAAGGGCCAGCAATATGGCTGAGCAGCCTGACCTGAGTTGGCACTCTGAGACCCACAATGTAAAGCAGAGGACTGACTCTGGCAAGCTATCTTCTGGCCTCCTCTCATGTGCTATGCCTTGGGGCTCATGTACACACACACACACACACACACACACACACACACACACACACACAAATGTAATAGCAATAATTTTTTAAAGAACTTGCCAAAGTGTCATCATGCTGCAGCTGAGGACATCCTCCCAAAGGCCTCTTCTTGTTCCCACATAGAATAAAAGATCTAATGGGAGGCCGAGAGGAGGCTTAGACCTTATTCTCAGGGAAGAGGAAATAACTTGGGTCCTCCAAAACACTTCATCAGCAATGCAAACCTTCGTTCTAATTATTCTTATATAAGATCCCCATACAATAGTGAGAGCACATGTGGAGAGGGCAGAGCTGGGCTTCCTCTCTTCAGATGCTTGCCCACACCTGTCCCAGTCACCCTGGGGCCTCACAGGTGAAGTGAAAGCAATTTGGAGCATTGGGATCTGGGGTCAAGCCCCAGCTCTGCGTGGCCTCAGGCACGTCACCTTGTCGCCTCTGACCTCCTTTCCCACCTCACAAACAGACCTGATCCTGCAGCCCACCAGGAAGTCGCAAGGTTCGCTGAGGTTGCTCCCCGGCATAAACACTGACATGCAAATGTCTGGACAGATTCAAGTTATAATTCTGATCTTGGAAATGTGAAACCACAGGCACCAAAGGCATTTCCTGAGCCGCTCGGATAGTTAGTTCATCACTTTCTGGTATCTGGAGGTCACCCAGACGGGTCGGGGTGGGGGCTGGGGAGTGTGCTGAGTAGTGGCAGCTGCCTGCCTCCTTCCAGAATGAACGTTGGCCAAGTAGTAGCTAGCACCCCCCCTCCCCCGCAGAGAGAACTGGACTCCAGATCAGCCTCAAGCCAAGCCAGCATGATGCTGGCCCCTTGTGTCCCTCACTGTGCCCAGGCTCAGGGAGGGCACAGCTTAGCAGAAGCTCTGGGGAGAGACAGGTCCGTTTGCTCTGAACCCCAGCCGAGCACAAAGCCGTGCCACACTACGCTCTCCAAGCTTCCGGATGCCATCGGTTCATTCGTCACCACTCAGACATGAATCAGAGTAAATCTGCCCATCCAAGTAAAGAAGCAAGTGGCTCGGCAAGCTGGATTGATGGATCTCCCTCCAGAGCCAGGATCAAATCCCACTTCTGCCAGTCAACAGCTTGTCACGTTCGGCAACGTATGTACGCCACAAGTCCAACCTCAGTTCCCTTCACTGTGAAAAAAGGGCCATAAATAATAGTGTGTACTTTTAACGCTGGGAAGATGAAAGGAGGTGATGAAGATGGAACAGCACCGTGCCAGGCCCTCGATGAACATTCAGTAAACGGCAGCTATGGGCAGAGGGATTCATTATTCATTTGTCTAGATGGACATATGAAATGTAGGAAATCTGATTACAGAGACCAGAAAAAGAGCTTCAAGTTGTTCACAGGTTTTGGAGCCTGAGACCTGAGGATTCACTTCTCTGCAGGGGTTCTTTTGGGTCTGTTTCTTTTTTGAGATAGATTTTGTTATATGTCCGGGTACATTCTCCTGCTTCCATTTCCCAGGTGTCGGACATGTAGGTAAGTGTGGGGCATCCTGTCTTGCCAGGGTTCACCTTCAGAGAGAGAGCCACACGTTCATCTCAGAGTTAAAGAATGTTGTGGGCCAGATCTGGTGTCTTACTTCTGCAACCTCAGGAGGTTGAGGCTAGCTTGAGGCCAGACTGGGCCTCAGTTTCAGGGCCACCTGAGCCTGAGCTGCCCAGTGTAATCCTATCATAAGACAAATCAAAAAGAATATGGTTTCCTGAAGCGAGAAGAAACATCACTAAAGAGATCAGGCCAAAATAAAAGTAAAAATAAATTTTTTGGAAGATTAATAAAAGCTGGACTAGTGTAGCGCACCTGTAATCTCTATAAGCACTTGGGGGCTGTGGCAGGAGGATCAGGAGTTCAAGGCCAGCCTCTGCCCAGTTCAAAGCCACCCTCAGATAAAGAGCTACAGCCAACCAATGGCTGCTGACAGGTGGGTAATCACTCTTCTCTAGGGATGAGCCCCCTGATAGATTTTCTAAGCCCAAGTGGTCACCGCTAAGCACATGCATGTGAGAACAACACTAAATGGGAGAGAAGGAGAGAGAGAGAGAACAATAATTATAGAACAGTTCATAAATTTGAGAGTCAGTAAGGGAATAGAACACTGGAGGGGTTCAAATACGGAGAGAGATGGGTGGAAATGATAAAAATACATACAAAATTCTCAAAAAAAATTTTTTTAATTAAAAATTTGAAGGCAGGCAGCATGGTATGTGTCTGTAACCCATGGGGACAGGTTAAGTTCCAGGGTTCACTGGCCAGTTAGTCCAGCCAAAACGACAAGCTTTGGGTTCCACGAGAGAGCCTGTCTCAGAAAAACGAAGTGGAGAATGATTGAGGAAGATGGCGGTGGTTACCTCTGATCCCCACATGAACACACATCAGGTGAACACATATGTGCATACACAGACAGACACACACACACACAAATTTCAGGGGGTACCAAGAGTATGACTGGGAAAAGAAAGCCTGGGTGTCTCAAACAGCACATCCTATGGGTGAGGAGCTGAGGAAGGAGGCAGAGGACAACAGCAAGTACTCACTGGTGTCCAAGACAGTATTCCTATCCAGACCTACGCCATCAAGCTGAAAGTCTTGAATATGAGCTGAGGAGTTCGTTAGCACCCACCTTCTGAGGTTAGGATGAAGAGTCCGTAAGAGAAAACAGGAAGAAGTTTGCACAGATCAACACCATCTTATTTGTTTCACTTTGCTTTAGGGGGGCAAGTTTTTACTACATATCCAAGTTGCCTTGAACTTACTACGTAGCTGAAGCAAGCCTCGAGTTCAGAATAATCCCTCTGCCTCAGTCTCTCAAGTGCTGGGATTACAGGCATATTCCTTCATGCCCTCCATGCAGCCATTTTCAATATTTCTGGAATCATCAGCTTCTTTAACTATCTAGTGACATATCTGGGCCTGGTGGCCCAGGCCTGTGATCCTAGCACTTGGGATGTGTATGCAGAAAGATCAGGCATTTAAAACCAGCCTGAGCTACATGGGATCTTGTCTCAAGAGATTCACCACCAGGTATATGCGCTTTTCATGCAAGCCTGATGGCATGAACTCAGTCTCCAGAATCCACAGCGGAAGGAGAGAATCAACTCCCTAAAGTTGTCTGCTGACCTGCGTGTACCATGGTACACACACATGCACATGCCCACACACCGGTAATAAGAAATAATGGGAAAATTTTATTTAAAATCTGATGGCGCTGGAGAGGTGGCTCAGCGGTTAGGAGCAGTGTGGCTCTTTCGGAGACCCTGATTCAGTTTCCAAAGTCCACACTGTTGCTCTCAACCATCCCAAACTCCACCCCACCACAGCATATGACTTCCAAGAGCACCAGGAATATACGTGCTGCACATACACACAGCAAACACGTGGCTACGTGCAAGCAAAACATTCATACGCATGTAATAAATGTCTTTACAACGTTTAGATTTTCAATAGTCTCATGACAGCTAATGAAAAATAAGGCTAATTTAATGTGTTACTGGTGGTGCCTCTCATCTCCTGATGAACAAATGAAAATCAGCTTATGGATTTCTCAACAAATCTAATTCCACCAAAATGCAGTAGGATCTAAGTCCGCAGAGGCCGGCAATAGGAATGACGGACCAGGCCTGTGTCAGATTGAAAATACAACACAGAAAAAAAGACCAACGTCCGGGCTCAGAGAAACCAGTCTGACTGGCACGTACTGGGTCAGCAATTGCCACATCAAGTGGGTCACGGGCATAGGTGGTCCACTCCGACTTTCAGTGGGTTAGGCCTCAGCATCAAGCACCAGCTTCTGTTGGGGATGGGGATGGCTCAGGGCTCTGGGCTCTGAGAGAGGATTTGCCCCATTGCTTGCAGGAGGGGGGCTTGGGTTTGGAAGAATTTGTACCTTTATACAGGATAGTGGTTATGGGAACTGAGAAAGATTAGCCTCGGACACCTCTGGCGG